ATATACTCAAAAAACCGTATGGGTTGCATTTTCACCCCTATCTCCAATTTCCACCCTCTAATTTAATAGCACTCCGCGGTTTTTTCTTTCTGAATAACCATTTGAACGATTCCTGCAATAAAATCCTACTCCTTGATCCTTCCACCGTTAATGTGATTTTAGGTAGTATTTCTTTGGAGACTCTTTAGGACGATATTGCTTATAACTTTTAAAGGGGAAGTAATACAGATAAATTTCTGTAACAAAAGTTTATTAGAAAAAAGTCAGATTTTCTAACAGGAAAAAAATGTGGGTATGTTTCTGGAAAAACTATAATTGATTACGTCCTTAGTCGTTCTGTCAAATCGTAAAGATAATACTTTGGATAGAAAATGGAGCTTACCTCATCCCATTTAACACCACGTGTCACAAATTTAATTTTAATTTTTTGTATCCTCACAGTAAGCCCGTACTACGTACTATCGAGTTTGAGACAGCCCGTACTTACTTTGGCAGTATATCACAGCCTTGCGTCATTACCGACGCCAAAGTTAACCACAGACAATTTTTGATGTCCCATATGTTTTCCAGCTGTTCCGGATGATCATCGCTCGGATGGGGGTTTTCCCAATCTCCAGGAGTTATCCTTTAAATGAAAATTGTTTCAGAGTAAATTTGTATGACGTACCTGGATTACCTGGATATGAAATATAATACGACGGAAACGATCAAATACAATGCGGCTGTATAAATCCAAACGGAGATCGAAAACGGATTTACGAAGGAGAACCACTTGACGTCGTTCATTTCCGCCTTTGTGTACAGAATACTTATTCCTAAAAAAAATAGAGTCAGTTAAGTGGTGACTAGAGGTATTTTGCATACCTAGTGTCATAAACGGCATACTGAAGTCAACAACTTCTCTTCTTTGATGCGTAATCGTTAGATCGCAAACGGCAAGATCTGCTTTCTAAAAAATACAATTTTTAATCAAAGAAATTCCGTACGACTGGACTGGATAGAGTATTAGTCAGTGACTTTCGATTTCTTTAATATTACCTCCTCCAAAATATCTCCAATAAGCCCCGACCATTTTTTATTCCTTTCGTTCCATTGCCCATATTGCCCGTCTGCAGTTAAACGAAATTCAAATTTATAACCGATTAATTTCGCTATTTCTGTTATTAAATCCAACGAGTAACCTTCGTATCTGTCGTTTCCGTACAATATTTCACCCTCTTTGGGTTTTCTATACATTAAATAAGGTTCACCAAGCCTGAAACATTGAGTTTAGGTTACCAAAATATCCATAGATTCAAAAGGGATAGAACTGTTTAGATGTTGGACAGAAAAGTTTGACTTCAATAGTCATTCATATATGCTTCACTTTCCATCACAAATTTGACCTTATCTACAAACATATACTATTTGCATTTTACCTGGATGAGACAATGACAATGCCTTGATTTCCAAGGAACTGTCTCACCGTGGGAGATCTCCTTAAAAGCAGCGATTGGTTACTTGCAAACCAGTCGGCAATTATTCGATCTTGAAGAATATCCACCACTTGCATGTTAAAATTAATGCGATTTCCATTGTCGTCGAATTTTATGGGTCCAGACAATGTTGATGGAGGCTCGATCTAACCAAGAAAGAAGTTAATAACTGATACGTTAATACTTATGTAGCATAAAAATTAATACCGCATTTATCCAATCTAATATTAAAGTTTCAGGCAAAAGTCGTAGGTAGATACCAATATGCTTGACATTGACCTTAAGTTTCAAGGTTAAACCAAGGTTAACTTCGAAATATTAAATGGAACACCCTATTCTATATGCCAATAGATGTTGATAAATAAAACGATTCGTTTTTTCTCAAACAACTTTGATGTTAAAATATTTTAGTGTGGCATACTGTCAATATTGTTATTAAACAAATTATGTAAAGACTATTTTTAATTTCTCTCAGTTTTAATGATGAAATGTCGAATATACAGGGTGGCCAAATGAAAACGAAAGCCATTTTCAGGAACTGTAAGCATCTCCCCAAAATATTTAAATGGCATTGGGGGTTGAGTAATATTTCTTTTGAAAGCTCTTACAATTATCTTTACAACAGACTTTAAATTTTATAANTTTTATTGTTGAGTCTGCTGTTTATGTTTTCATGAATAAGCAGAAGTTCTCTTTAAATTCTGAAATCCACCATTATAACACAAGGAATTGCAATAAATTCCGTTTACCCTTTTGTAAATATAACATTTCTCGCAAATCGCCGAATTGTCTGGCTATTAAAATTTACAATCATTTACCTTCTGAAATAACGGACTCACTTACACAGGGTGTTTTTAAGAGTAAATTAAAGAAGTTTTTATTGGATCGGTCTTTGTATAGTCTAGATGAGTTCTTTGCTGTGGATTACACCGGTACTGACAAATGACTAACATGTTTCTTGGTTGTAATATGTTAGTTTGTTCTTATTTATGTTTTATGTTTTATGATGTGTATTGTTGTATTTATTCCTGTGTATTATTATTTTTTTCTGTTTTTATATGACTATTCCTATATATATATGAATGTATATCTCATGGAAAAAAATAAATAAATAAAAAAATAAATTTTTCAACAGGCCGGTGCTCCTCCGCATTATGCATTAATTGTCCATCAGTATTTGGACCAACGTTTTCTACGAAATTGGATTAGGAGAAGAGGCAGCATTGAGTGGCCTCCATGATCACCGGATTTATCGCCCCTTGATTTCTTTTTGTGGGGATACCTAAAAAGTAAAATCTGTAAAATACAGCCAGTGTCGCAGGAAGATTTGCGTCAAAGAATCGTCGACGAATGCCGTCGAATCACTCCGGAAATGCTTCGGAATGTGCGCGAACGTTTCGAACAAAATCTTTATTCTTGTATGGAAGCGGGCGGTCATCAGTTTGAACATTTAATCAATTAAGTAGTAAGTAAGCAACTAAACATAATTTAAATTTTAAAATGTAAAATTTTTTCAAAGTATTAGGCGGAATTATAAAATTTAAAGTCTGTTGTGAAGAGAATTGTAAGAGCTTCCAAAAGAAATATTACTCAACCCCCAATGCCATTTAAATATTTTGGGGTGATGCTTACCCTTGCTTGGGGGTGAAAGTGGCGGAGTCAAAAATACCAGCAAAGAATGTCCCCCTTTAATCTAAAATCGACGGGTCGGAGCGTGTTTCTACAATCTTGATGCAGTTCCTGAAAATGTCTCTGTTTTGTTTTCATTTGGCTACCCTGTATAAAGAAATAACCAGGAAAAGAATATCGGCAAAGAAAAGCTTGTGAAGTTTAATAATTTCTGTGAGGTTATTAACAAACAGTAAAAATAAAAGGTTCCAAGATTGAAATCAAATCCTGAGGAACACCTGAAGCAGCTTTAAATACCTGACATTTAAACCCATTATAGTATAGGCAACAATAAAATCGATTGTTTAACAACTGTAAACCGTAGTGAATTATCGGATATCCTAAATTCTACTAATCTAGTAAATATAAGTAAGTTTTACATGCTTTTAGTTTAATACTCACTTCTTTCATGTAAGCGGCAAAGGCATATCCATATTCGGACATTATTTTTTCATGACAACTGATGGGATTAGTCTTTATATTCCTTTCGGTGTAATAATGGTGTGTAATAGACTGGGTGATGTATTGCAGAGCATCGTAAAAAAGCACTGTTTCCGTCTGCAGATCAAATTAAACCGATTTGTTGTAGTTGTATAAACATATTTTGAGATATTTACATCTGTCTCAGTTATTCTTATTTCTACACGGAGATAACTGCTGGTCTATTTTCAATGACAGTCCATATTTATAATGGCTGCTTCTTTAAATCAATGGTTAACAATAACACACGCACAAAAAAAATCATGTACTTTTGAACAGAGTGTTTTGACCCGCTGAAGACGATGAAGCCAACGGAAAAGCTCCAACAAGTCAGGATTTTTTCCTAACAAAATAGCTCAAAATCAGTGGAAATCTCGATTTTTTGTTAAAATAGTTAAGATTTTCAAATAAAAGGTTCGTTCGTCGGTTGCCTCACCTATGACACACTGATGAGGACTAATAAGTCCGAAACCGGTCTGTGCCTGGTGGGTTAAACTGACGAACGACTCTAGCTGTTGTACTAGGTGTTGCGAGTATAATTCAATGCCGGTAGGGCCATATAGAACTCGGAGTAGTTGTTTCTCGCAACACTAACAATAAAAAAAAATTGAGCATTATTAAAATGGAAAATGTAAACTAATAAAAAGTAATATGAGCCCTAAACTTAAAGAAAGGACGTGTTAAATGACTTACTTTGATTTGTTTCATTTCAAGGCCGTCTTTCGACCCCGTTATGATGTTCTTAAAGTCTTCACCGTTGTAATCGAAGAGCCTTATGGTAGTTATGTTTGCTGCAGTGTCCAGTTCTCCATAATTCAAAGTATGTGCGTCCTGTAATTTTGGCGGAAGAAATGAGATGGAAGACCAACAAATTAATGAGATTGTTAAAAATGGTTAAGCAAGTCGTTGGTTTGACATACATAACAAATGATTAAACAATATGGAATATGAAGTAACTTACCAGTGACGTCAAAAGATAGTTATTACGCGAATTTAGTAAATTTTGATCTTTAGCCTGTTTTAGAAACGGTATAATACTTTCTGTTTTACAATCCAAAATTATATTGTCTCCCCAACCATTTTTAATTTCTTTTAACAAAGATCTAGAAAAAAAAAATAATTAATTACAGTATGTGAAATACAACTTCATATTGTTTGAATTTGTTTCAAGTATATTTAATGGTCAGAACAATTATTTTAATCCCATTGTTTTTAGTTACAAAAAATATGTACCCATATACTTTTTTATTTAGTAAATAACATGCTGAATATCCAAAATAAATAAAAACTTGTTTATTTCACTAAAATATAGTTGCAAGCATTAATGCCAAGAATTTTTAAGTGGCATGGTACAAAAGCAACACAGTCCCACGGCAAAAAAGTGTGATAGACTAGACTCCTAGACTCAAACGTTCGACGAAGGTTATTTGAAGGTCAATTCTTGTTTTTTGATGGCAATATAATTTCTGTCCCTGAATTTTGACGGAATAAGAAATGTTACGCTAGGATACGTGGTTGATTTATTATGTAAGGTCAAGATCAAGGTTATTTGAAGGTCTATTCTTGTTTTTTTGATGGCAATACAATTTCTGTCCCTGGATTTTGACGGAATAAGAAATGTTACGCTAGGATACGTGGTTGATTTATTATGTAAGGTCAAGATCAAGGTTATTTGAAGGTCAACTCTTATTTTTTGAATGTAATACAATTTTTATCCCTGGATTCCAACATAGCAAAACATGTTACGTTCGGATACGTGGGTAATTAATTTAGTAAGGTCATGTTCAAGGTTATTTGAAGGTCAACTCTTATTTTTTGATGGTAATACAATTTGTGCCCCCAGATTCTGAAGGAGCGAGACATTTTGAGCATATGTTGCAATTTGTTTTGAACTTATGCATTTAAAAATTACTGAATTTTGCTTTTACCTAAATTATTTTTAATACGTATGATTATTTCTTACACCCTTGTATGCTGTGCAAATACTAGTTCTAGCAACTTGAGAGCCTCTGTACTATTAAAAAAAGTGAAATGCGTTACATAATGCAGCGTCTATGATCTAGAGTTGGGAGACTGTTTTTAAGGTGATCTATTTTTATTAAAATTGGCTTAAACTGTTTTATGTCAAAAAGTTGCTACCTGTGGTCATTCCCAGCACCCAACTGTTTCACCAGAATGTTATTTTTCTCGCTGTCATGCTTGAAATCCCGGAGTTCAAGGATTCCCCGCATTCTCAAAAGCCCTTCCTCGCTTTCGTAGAGAATAACGGCGCTGCTCCACCGCAAACTTTTTACCACTTCTGCGAGCGCTTGCGCGTAGAGTTGGTCCTCTGGGAAAAAATTTACAACCGTGTTAGTGCGTCTCGTGGTCGATGGTCTCCATGAGGTCATGATATAGGGCACTTCAAAGTGATCGCATATCGATTCTTGTACGGCTGACGTTAACGACTCGAAGCTTATCACTGCTGCCACTCCATTTCCGGCGTTCAACATTCCACACACTGAAAGGTTATAAGAATATCTTCAATATTTTCAGATACTTCCGGTTGTGTATGAAGACTAGTTTTGTTACTCACGAGTTTTGCTGGCTTCGAATGAGTCGACCTTGGAAATATTTTTAACATTGCTCTTGAAGAGGTCCTTCAAGATGTCCGCGTTCTTTTTGTGTAATGTGGAATTCAACGCAACCTCGAACTGATGATTTTCCTCACTCAGAAGTACTCCTTTAACCAGAAAATATGAAGTCATAAGAAATTGTGTATACAGGGTGTGTCGCATAAGAACGGACACAGAGCAAGGGCATGTAAGAAAATCCAAAATGCAACTTACCTTTATACTAAGCTGCACCACTCAGAAGTTATAGTTCTTGAAAGTGAAGTTTCAAATTTTGAAAAAAATCAATATATCAGTTATACTTGAACTTAGAAAAACCAAATTTGGTATACAGTGTGAGTGTGCCAAGAGCACACGATAATCGATAGTAAGTAGAGTTCAACTGGAAGCATTTCAAAGGGTTGATAAGGGATGATGCAGCATTAGGTAAATGTGTCAGAATTTTTTAACCCCCCAGCTTAGAATAAAGGTAAGTTGTGTTTAATCACCATATTTTGGGTTCTCCTACTTGCCTCTGCATGTATCGGTTTTTATGCGATACAACTGTACAAAACTATACAAAAAAGTTCTATCTTCGCTTTTTTTTTTTTGTAAATTTATTCAACAAAACTGAAGGCCGACCCTGTGTTATTTATTAAAAAATTTGGAAATATTTTTATGCTACCCGAGATGCAACAAGGTTAGGTTACATTGTCAAGAAATTTGTGCAGTCAACTGAATTGTATTTGCATTGAATTCATTATTCACTTAATTATTAAATATTAAGCATCGTCCTTCGACCCATCACTCCCATCAATGTTAAAAAGTAAAAGATTCCAGACAAAAGTTTTTATTTTGTAATTCCACGACAGTCACAGTGTAATTTTTATAAAGAAGTAAAAAATAAGAATAGCGTGCCGATTACATTAAAAACGAGATTCATATTTTCATACTTTGTTTAATTTTTTAGTTTGTGCACAAACTAATTTTACACTGAACCGAGAAAACAATGCATTTACTATTTCCGAACGTGTCGATATGGTGTTAGTGTATGGTGCAGCCGGAGAAAATGCGCTCGCGGCGACTAGGTTGTACCGGGAACGATGGCCACAACGTCACCCCCCATGTGCAAATACAATCCTACAGTGCGTTCAGCGGCTGCGAGATACGGGAAGTGTTATTCCTCGAGGAGAAGGACGTGGTCAGCAAGTGAACCTTAATGTTGAAGATGCAGTGTTGGAAAATCTTGACGAAGACCCCACAATTAGTACTCGACGACTCGCACAGCAAGTAGGAACCTCATCTCGTACCGTACATCGCATCTTAAGGCGCCAGCTGTTGCACCCCTATCATCTGCAACCAGTTCAACAGATTTTACCCCCGGATTGTGATCAACGAATGCGTTTTTGCAGATGGTTTTTACGGCAATGTGCCAATCAAGTAGACTTTCCTGCTTATGTTTGTGTAACAGATGAGGCGACATTTACCCGTGATGAAGTGAATTTCCATAATATGCACATATGGGCCGATGAAAATCCTCACGCGATTAGGGAAACTCATTTTCAACATCGGTTCTCGGTAAATGTTTGGGCTGGCATAATAGGCGATGTACTTGTGGGTCCCTATTTCTTTGAAGGACGACTAAATGGACCAACATATGCTGACTTTTTGGAGAACCGGTTGCCTGAATTATTTTACGATGTGGAATTACAAGTTCGAGCACGCATGTTTTATTTTCAAGATGGGGCTACTCCACACAGTACTAGAGAAGTATCGACACTTTTGAATGAAATGTTTCCTCAACGATGGATTGGACGCTTTGGTCCTGTGCCGTGGCCACTTCGGTCACCCGATCTAACTCCAATGAACTTTTATCTTTGGAGTCATTTGAAGTCATTGGTTTACAATACCCCGATTACTACGGTGGAAGAAATAGAACTTTTTCCTATAAGACTCTTCTATTACAAATATCGTTAGGAAGCTCTAGTTTAATTTTTATAGACTATACACGCCACACCCTGTATAATTAAGGCTATTCATACTAGAAAAAAAAATGCATGGTAACTCTTTAACAAACAATGTGCGTTGGGTCGAACCGTAATTGATTTTCTGTTTCAGTTTTTCGAAAAACGATATAATAACCTTTTTGTGTCAAATTCAACACTCTCCAAACAGCAGAACCAGTTTTAACTAGTGGCATCATGGAAAACAATTATTCTGCGGATCAAAGACACGCGCGACATTGAATTACACCAACAATATCAAGTAAATAGCTAAGATAATTCGTCAGTAGAACCATCAGACGTAAGATTTGTTCTAGCAAACTACTGTAGTGTGAAGCTATCAAGTGAAGCTTTACTTTAACGATGTTAAATATTGAATTCACAATAGGAAAACCTTACCTATAGTTACATTCTGACTGGCCAGACAGAAATCTTGGTAAGCGACGAATGAAACGAGCCACAACACATTCTGAAGCACCGTCTTCATCTCGAACAAAACAAATCTTATCAAGTCACTTTTACATATGGTGCATATACGAATGTTGTGCTAGATACGTAGTATGACTAGAATGATGTTTCCTATTTAGTGTAGCGCCGGCTGGTATTTTATTTTAGTGGAGTTATAAATAGAGCTTGGTTTTTATTAGCTAAAGCGAAATATTCCTCAATATTATGAATAAAACAAATTAAAACAAATTAGAGTTGTTTTTATTATTACCACGCTGTTCCGGTTAATTAGATAACCTCTGTCGTCAGAACCGGTAAGGTTATCTTCGTCGAATACTTGCAACTTAAAATACATATAATTATCTTTCTGCTGTACGCATTTTTTTTCCAGAAGCAGAAACTGGGAGGATACCTGCAGCATCGATTCATCTCTGTAAGTGAATAAAAAATCCTTTGTAAACATAGTTAGGCCAGTCATTATAGCTTTTTTCGGGAAAAAAATACTATTAGATTTATTCTCTGCGGAATACTGTTCAGAGACGTGTTATAAACAAAATATCAAATAATCAACTCGAGACTAGTTGGGAAACTTTGTTAAAATAATGATCAAAATTATGGAAAAGTGGTTTTTTGACTCGCCTAAAAAAACTGTTATTCATAGAGAAAAAAGGTTTATACAAAAAAGGTAGGTATTAAATAAATCTTAAAATAAATAAGTCCGATTAAATTCCGATAATTTGTTTATGCGCAAGAGCTCAAAAATGGTCGAAATTGTCCGCTTTTTTCAATTGCTAATAATGCAATTTTCATCGCAGACACTTGTAATTCAGGATTTTTTAGGCTTTTTGCACCCTTAATAAGTAGCAAAAATTTCAGCCCAAAAGCTTCATTAGCTTGGTTTTGGCGGAATTTGCTATGCTATTTTCAATTCATTTTTCCCAAGTTCACAGGCGTTATAGGGTTTCGATCATTAGTTGTTTTTTTACCTAAATAGTTGTATTGACATATGCATTTACTGACAATTTAATTTTTCAAATTTAATTTCTTTAAAAATGACTGAAAAAATGTTAATATTTATTAAATTGTTAAGCGCGCATGCTCCGCCTCGCTCTCCCCACTCGTTCGCTAGACCAAGTAATAGAACGCATCGCCGCTATCTTCTTTTTCGCAATTAAATAGTTGAATTCACCTTAATGTTAATGTAGGACATGAAAATATAGCTCTTAATGTATACTCTCTCCAATTTTCGGCTCTTAATATTAATAATTAAGGTCACTGCGATTAAATAAATAAAAAAATTATCAGCTTCTAATCAACTTACAACAACGATTTTTTTTTAAATTCGAAGAAAACTAAAGTATAGAGGTTACTATTTTATTTTATAATAATTACCTATCTTAACAATTTAATAAATATTAACATTTTTTCAGTCATTTTTAAACAAATTAAATTTGAAAAACTAAATTCTCAGTAAATGCATATGTCAATACAACTATTTAGGTACAAAAACAACTAATGATCGAAACCCTACAACGCCTGTGAGCTTGGGAAAAATGAATTGAAAATAGCATCTTCTTAGATAACAAATTCCGCCAACGCCAAACCAATGAAGCTTTCGAGCTGAAATTTTTACCACTTATTAAGGGTGTAAAAAGCCTCAAAAATCCTGAATTACAAGTGTCTGCGATGAAAATTGCATTAATTATTAGCAATTGAAAAAAACGGCAATTTTCGACCATTTTTGAGCTCTTGTGCATAAACAAATTATCGGAATTTAATCGGACTTTTTTCATTTTATAGGCTTATTTAATACCTACCTTTTTTGTATAAACTTTTTTTCGCTATGAATAATAGCTTTTTTACGTGAGTCAAAAAACCACTTTTCCATAACTTTGACCACTGTTAAAACAAAGTTTCCCAACTAGCCTCGAGTTGATTTTTTGATATTTTATTTATAACAGGTTTCCGAACAATATTCCGCAGAGAAACTTCTAATAGTATTTTTTTCCCGAAACAGGCTCTTTCATGTCTATAATGACTGGACTAAGTTGGTAAAATGTTTAGTTTCCCAGATATTTCTATACATTTTTTTCATTCAAAATGTAATAACTGTAAGAGAAATTGACAGACAGAATATAATTTTTGTGTGAAATTGACAGATATTTCAGATATCCAGTCGTTTTCTTTATAAGATCCGTAGGCGAGGAAAAGATTTTTTATAAAGAGAGCATCGTACATGTCTCTTTTCCATATTGGTGCGGGGAAACATTTGAAGGTGATTTTTGTTGCTTTCAAAAACGTGTACCAGTTACAATATATCGAAAAAATATATATTCAATCAAAATTCAGATATAATATCATTAATTTTCACCACGTATTCAGAAGGCCTAATAAAGACAGAAAATCGAAGTCGACCCTTTCAAAAATAAACATTGTATCACATTTGCTGACTGGGTATGCGCCGGCGCACTACAGAGCGTTCGAACATTGAAGCGAAACAGCTGATTTCCTCAGTCGTCTTGAATTTTTTAAATCGTGTTTTCGTATTCTACTAATTTTTTCTTTAGTCAAGGTTGTAGAGCAGTAGAAGTAGGCTTTGGCCTTTGTGTTTGAAGTAATCTATTTTGTTGTACAGAAAAATTCCAGATATTATGTAGAATGAGAAACCGAGTTTGCCTAATTCAAAAAACCATTGCTAAATTTAAAGGAACAACAAAGAAGTAAATGTCCAGTTTTTCGACATATTTCTCCCTGTAACATTGAAAGTAAGCCCTAAATCTAAAAAAAATCATTCTATATTTTTTGTTTATTTGACGATTGACAACAACTGCGAATGAAAAAAGTAGAATTTTGCATTAACAATGGGCGAAAAATATCATATATATATTTTTAGTATTGAACATTGTTTATTATGACAAAAAGTATCTCTAAAAAATTGTGTGCCCTTTCTAAACCTTAATTTAAACCCACGGTACGCGATAAACTTTTAGAAATTTTCTTAATTAACAATCCTGTAAATCGAAAACCACGCTATCGATCGTTGCAAAATTTTTAGGGTAGATTTGATATATGTTTTACTATTTCACAAAGTTTCTTCAATATTTATAAATATTTACTTATTTTAAACATTGATCCAAATATACATATGATTTTCTACTATTTTTCGCTCATTGTTAATGCAAAATTTGATTCGTAGTTGTTGTAATTTTATAGAAAATCGCCAAATGAACAAAAAATAAAGAATTACTTTTTTATTTAGGGTTTACTTTCAATGTTACAGGGAAAAATATGTCGCAAAACGGGTCATTTTTCGTTCTTTTTGTATGTTTGTTGTTCCCCTGAATTTAACAATGTTTTTTTTTTGGAATAGGCAAACTCGGCTTCTTATTCTACATAATATTTGGGATTTTTCTGTACAACAAAATAGATGACTTCAAATATAAACGCCTCGAATGCTTTACAGCCTGGACTACTTTCTTCCTTTAAAACTATTGACATTATGACTGAATCGCCCTGTACATTTATTTATGTGATATTTTTTATAGGGTGGTTTGTTAACCTCCTTATAAATGTTAAAAAGGCAAAC